TTATTATTGTTATTATTACTATTATCGTTATCATTACTATTATTATTATTATTATTATTATCATTATTATTATTATTATTGTTATTATTATTATTATTATTGTTATTATCATTTTATTATTATTATTATTATTATCGTTATTATTATTACTGTTATTATTATTATCATTATTATTACTATCATTATCATTACTATTACTATTGTTATTACTATTATTATCATTATTATTACCATTACCATTATCATGACTTATCATTATTATCTTTATCAATATAATAATAATAATCATTTTTATTATTATCATTATCATTATTGTTATTGTTATCATTATTATCATTGCTATTATTATTGTTATCATAATCACTGTTATTATTATCATTATTATTATTATTATCATCATGATCATCATCATTAATAATATACTTTTATTATTGCTACTATTATTATCATTATCATTATTATCGTTATTATTATCATTATTGCTATATTATTTATAATATTATTGTAATTATTGTTACTATTATTATTATTATTATTATCAGTATCATTTTCATTATTATTGTTAACATTGTTATAGCTATTATTATTGTTGTCATTATTATTATCATATTTATCATCATTATTGCCATTATTATTGTCATTATCATTATCATGTTATTATTATTAATATCATTATCATCAGTATTATTTCCATTATTATTACCAATATTGTTGTTGTTATCATTGTATTTATTATCGTATCAAATGTTAATATTATTGCTATTATCTTTATCAAAATTATTATTAACATTTTGGTTATTTTTGTTATTACTGTTATCATTGTCATTATTATTATTATTGTAATTTTCATTGTTGTTATTATTATTATTACTATCATTATTAATAATATAATAATAGTAATTATTATTATCATCTTTATTATTATTATCATTATCATCAATACTATTATTACTGTCAATATCATTATTTTATCCTTATCATTATCAACATCATCATCAATATTGTTACCATTAGTTCACATCCAAAATCTATCTTCATTATCATTATTATCACTATCATCGTTATCAAAATTACTATCATTATTATCATAATCACTATCATCTTAGTTCAAATCCAACATCTATCATTATCATTATTACTATCATCAAAATTACTATCATTTTAGTTCACATCCAACATATATCTTCATTATCATCATTATCAACATTACCATCACTACCATCATTATCATAATCACTATCATCTTAGTTCAAATCCAACATCTATCTTCATTATGATTATTACTATCATTATTACATCCAACATCTATCTTCATTATCATCATTATCAACATTACCATCACTACCATCATTATCATAATCACCATCATCTTAGTGCAAATCCAACATCTATCTTCATTATCATCATTATCAACATTATCATCACTACCATCATTATCATAATCACTATCATCTTAGTTCAAATCCAACATCTATCTTCATTATCATTATTATTATCATTATTACATCCAACATCTATCTTCATTATCATCATTATCAACATTACCATCACTACCATCATTATCATAATCACTATCATCTTAGTTCAAATCCAACACAGGGCACCAGATTCCAGTACAAATGACCTCCTGATCATGACCTTAATCTAAGGGACTTCGGACGTGGTCTCGATAAGCCTTCCGGAGGCCCATTGTGTTTCTGAAGTTTGATAAAGATCTGTGGATTAAGATATCTGCTCATCGTAGGCTGAATTGGTTTGATTTGATTGTGGTTTGGGATATATATATATATATATATATATATATATATATATATATATATATATATATATATTTATATTTATATATATATAAATATATATGTATGTATATATGTGTATATATGTGTATATATATGTATACATATGTAAATATATATTTATATATACAGAGAGAGAAAGAGAGAGAGAGAGAGAGAGAGAGAGAGAGAGAGAGAGAGAGAGAGAGAGAGAGAGAGAGAGTGAGTGAGTGTGTATGTGTGTACACACACACACACAATCACACACACACACACACACACACACACACACACACACACACACACACACACACACACACACACACACACACACACACACACACACACACATATATATATATTTATATATGTATGTAATCCACACACATCCACTTGCATGTGTATGTGTGTGAATGTGTATATGTGTGAGTGACAGATAGGGCATATTCTGCAGATAAGCGGAGAACTACAAATCCGTAGGCCGAAGTATTTGACCTTGTACAGATAGAAAAGGCCTATCGAATGTGCAGATTAAAGCGATAAAAAAACTCACCAGAACAAGGGGCGCCCAAAGGGTGAAGTCACAAGAACAACCTTCCAAATCTACCAAATTGTGTGACGAAATCAGGCGTCTGTGTCACGGTCACGTAGGGGTAGAGAGCGACCAAAAATCGACGGGTATGATAGAGGGTATGACAAATACAAAAATTATGTTTATCCAATCTAAAATCAGCTCCATATAAGCTTGTAGATTTACAGGTACAATGAATCTTTCTTTTTGCTATTTGAAGAGGATAAAAGATACGGATATTGAAATACTAATATGTTATAATGATGATATATTAATAAAATAAATAGACAATATCGACGCTGAACAAAGCCTTAAGATTAAACATCGCTTGAACATCGCTTGCTGAAGAACATAATTTGACATTGAGGAGGTTGAATAATAAATGGAATTTAGAACTATCAGAAAAATACACCAAGACTAATACTTTCCGACAAGCACCATCGACTTCATTCTAAACTTAAATGGAAAAATATTCCTCATCGAAAATGGTCATCGAATAAAATGGTATTCAAATTCTAATGCATATCCAGTAGATTCACTTGCGAATCATGAACCCCAATAAACCTCTTTTTGCAGGAAATGATAAAAAAAAAAAAATCATTTTAATGCGAGAGAAAAATGAGAAAAGATCTTCCACTGTGTCACGTACGCCACAGAGGATCTTGGAGCATAACTGGCAAGGTCTAATGAACTAAAGTCTATACAGTCTTCACAACTTGCGTTTATTTCCACATACAATGCACACACAAGAACAAATATTTACCCATGGCTGGTATAAACATTTCTTTTTTTTTCTTTTCTTTATCTTTTCACTTGTTATTACGCATTCTCTTGACAGTTTTTCTGTAGATATACACGAAATCATCATTTATGTTATAATCGTACTGTGATTATTGAACTTTCATATATCTTAAGAGTTTTCTTTTTCTCTTTTCTTCTTCCAGGGAATAAATCCATACGCACATCTATAGCTTGAGGTCGCGGCTGAAGTGGAGATGTTATGCATGAGGTATGTAATTTCAGACAACAAATGCAGTGAGATCAGTAATATTGCACTTTAAGCACGAAAGGAGCAAGGTAGGGTTAGAAAGACCATAGCTACTGGAATATGACTAAAGATGATTACAAAATCCGCATAAGTAACGTACCTTAAGTATTCAAAAATAGAAAAAATAACGAAAATGAAATATAAGGTGTTGAAAAAATCAGGGTATATTACATATTCTATAAATCATTCCATAATTGAGAAACTGGACATAGTCGAATCAAGGAATGTTCTCTCAAATAAAATCAATGTTTTAATGAAAAAGACACGAAACATGAAATAAAATCTAAAAGAAGTGAAGTGAAGAAAGCTAAATTGAATAAAATCACGAATACAGAAAATACGGAGAGAGAAGAGAAAAGAAATGTAAAGAGGAGAAAACAAGACAGGATGAAAAAGCAATTTTGTTTTAAGCCCGCAAAGTACTTAAATAATTAAGAACAAATTGTGTAATTAAAACATAAATACAACATGGGCTAAGACATACTCTTAAACGCTTTTTGCTTTATCACATTTTTAAAACTATTATATACGGTTTGATAGGACTACAAGAGGTACGACTTATTGAATATACATGCATATGGACATGCACATACACAGAAATAACAGGTAAATAGATAGTTAGATATGAGTTAATTATGTATATATGCATGTCCTTATGTACGAATAGTCATTAGGTTGGGGTAGCTCGCAATTTTAACGAACCAGTGAGTAAATAATAAAAAAAACTCTAATATATAATAAATATATATCAGTAAAAGGTACAGAACTCATTTTAAAAATTACAAC